TGTGCTTGACTATGGATTGAGTGGTCCAGGTTCAAGCCCTGGCCAGGGAGACATTGTGTTGTGTTCTTGGGCAAGACACTTTACTCTCACAAGCCCTCTCTCCACCCAGGTATACAAATGGGTACTGGAGAATTTAATGCTGGGGTATCCCTGTGATGGACTAGCATCCCAACCAGGGGGGAGTAAAAATATTCATAGTAATGCTACAGAAACCAGGATATGCTCCAGCCTGATGGCATGGAACACCTGACTTGTATAATAATTGATTTCATTAATAGATTTCTATAGCACCCTTTCTTTAAGACTCAAGGGCACTTATAACGTATTGCGTAACTTAATTTAAAAAGTAAAATGTTTTCATTAAAATATCAAAGACGCGAAAGGAAAACAAGTTAGTAAAATAAAATTAATTGCAAGAAAAATATCTTAAATTCCTGTCACAAGTGGGGAGTGAGGAAAGATTGTCTTTTTGTGACTCTTTCACATAGCTAAGACTTGAGTTTTGAATGTTACATAATGTTCATGTAGACTTTGTCACTCGTGGACACTTGTTGCAGTTGTTGAATGATGTTTGAGGGTTCTGAGTTGAAAGGATACCTAGTGTGGGAGACACACAATCATGTCATTAACGATTGACCAGCCAATCTCCTCGCCTGCAGCAGGGTGTGTTTAAGGGACTTATAGCCCCTCGGACTGTATTGAGTTATTTGTGAGCATATTTTTTGAGATTACAGTCAGATATGTGTATAATTAGATCATTGACTATGAAAACGAACATTTACTGCACTTGTTAAACTTTATTGCTTTTATTCATAGATCGTATTCATCAGACAGTAGAAATTGAAACCAACACTGTAGAAATTGAGGAAAAAGGCATCAGACTAAGACTGACAGTGGTAGATACTCCAGGGTTTGCTGATGCTGTTGACAATACCGACTGGTAAGAGACTTTTGTAGGCCAGGCTTCCTTTGATTATTTTGTTTATTGCAGAAGTTATTTAAATTTGAAGCAGATAACGGCCTCCAGTCTGGCTATCTTATAAAACCGCATTGTTAGTGGTACATTTAATTTTTGTCCTAGGTTTTCCTCACTACTAGTATAATGCTCTAATGATCTCATACATGTAGCTTGTAATGGCACCTCTTTCAATTCAGTAGTGCATTTTGCTCCCTCACACAGTATACAGCCTTGGTCAAGCTCAAAAAATCAAGTTGAACTATTGAAAACTCTGACACAGTTGTTCAAGGTGTAATCAACCTCTCTCTTTTTCTTGGAAAGTATCATAGGTCTGTAATTCGTTGAAAGGCTATGTACAGCTACATACATTGGCTAACATGGCAACACTTTTAATAACAACAATGATGTATTTGTTTTCTGTTTTTAGCTGGCAAGCTGTAATTAATTATGTTGATCAGCAGTATGAGGCATACTTACAAGATGAATCAGGTCTTAATCGACGACATATCATAGACAACAGAGTTCATTGCTGTCTTTACTTTGTCTGTCCACATGGTCATGGGTAAGCATTAAATAAATGTTTTTTCCTCATACATGGTAAAACGGTGAATGTTTTGAAAAGCTGGTGGTTCATTATGATCGCTGCAAATTAAAAGCTTATCTAGTCATAGCCAGCTTGGTAGTTGCAGAAAGGGAAGAGAAGAAGATCACGGGAATTGAACAGATCAGAGATACCCTGATTGTGCTTCGCACCGCTCCCCTGTACTTCACACTCTTCCCCACCCCATTTGTTTATTTCTGTCCCCTCCATGGGTCTACTTCTCAGGCTTATTAATAATTCATGGTGATTGATATTTAAATGTTAGTGGTCTCCCTTACTCAGGTTAAAACCCATAGACATCACATTCATGAAAATACTGCATACCAAGGTGAACATAGTCCCTGTTATTGCAAAAGCTGATTGTTTAACAAAGTTTGAAGTGCAACGACTCAAANACATTATTTTTTTTTCCATGCTGATATTGTTCTTATAAAAGTGGTGCTTTATTTGCCAAATTTCAGCCTGATGTTCTTAATCCATGTGTTCTTATATGCGGGTGTTTACTGTATTGTACAAAATGTCTTCTGAGGGTTTTTCCTGGTCACACTCATTTACACTGAGTTTGGAAAACAGTCATAAAACAAAATTAGCTTAATTGAAATAAAAAGTGTTAAAGTGTTCCTGTAGACTTATACACCTTGGATTTCACAAGTCTATTGTAGCGCTCTGTGACAGATGTAGGGGGTTCAGGGGGGGTTCAGTCGAAGCCCCTGTAATGACTAAGATTCGTTTAATTCAAGTACTGATAGTTGAAGACATTTCAGTGAGTCATTCATGACGTAACTGCTGATCGTATGTATCGCAGTCGCTACTAGGTATCAAGTTTAGGAAGAGCACATGGTATTTTGTTAAGAAGTTAGTTTGTTCATTGTTCAATGATGTTTTTCTTGGTTTATTGCGGAACAAGGCACAAAAAACTTATAAGTATTGATCGGTTTTTACTTAAGTTTCTCATCGTTGGTATTTTGGTTTTCTATTTTGCTTATTCAGCGGATTCATGTGTTTCCAATTCAGTGAATGGCTTGTTTGTGTAAATAAAAGTCAAGTTCAGTGTATCTCAAATATTATCCTTGTTACCGCAGTTCAGTAGCGAACATTGGGCTCCTACAGCCCCTAAATTAACCAAATGAGACATTGTGTAGTTCCAGAAAATATCCATGCATCCCCCACGGAGGGGATTTTCTAACACCTCCCCACCCCTCTGGAAATTCCAGTTAAGCTTCAAACATTTCTTTAAATTTTTTGTCTCGTAGAGCCCTCCACCCCCCAGGAAATTCCAATCCCTTCTGTGGGGGGAGTATGGATATTTTCTGGAACCGCACATTATTACAACACGCTGACTTAACCTCAGAATGCCAGAAATCCCATTTCTGAGGATGTCAACTTTAAAATTTTCCCAGCGGAGGATGCCCCCAAACCCCTGGAGGGGAGCGCCTTCAGCAGTCCATTTCTCGAAACCTCTTTTATAAAATCCTGTTTCTGCCCCAAGCCCTCTATGTCAGGGTGTAGTTGAGTTGAATGTGTTCTGATTCTTTAAGTATTTTAATGCCCTAAGAACTGTACAGCTAACAGTATTGCTTAATTTTTGTTGTTTTTGTCATTAGATCTTGGAGGAGATTGACGATAATAACATCAAAATTTACACTTTTCCTGAATGTGATAGTGAAGATGATGAAGAATTTGTTCAGATCAACCAAGAACTTAAGGTTAGTATCTGACAAATCACTGAGGCACATAGAAGGATGGGGCTCAAAGACTTTGGGGCAAAAGTACACTGGGCTCTATGACAGATGTATATTGGGCTCCAGGGACCAGATTAGTGAATCAATTGCAAATTAAGATGCATGCAAAATATTTTTTCTTGGCAATAGGCTATTGTATCTGAACTATACTTAAAACACATCTTGACCTTGGAGCATTTCATTAGTCTGGCCCTGGGGGGCTCCACTGCTTTACCTTAGCACTCCAAGGAACGAAAATCAGCACTCTGTCTGAGATCTTCTGATTTTGGGGCATTAATTGGTAATCACCCTCTCCTTGGGTTTGTGTGCTTAAAAGCCCCCTCCGCTATGGCTGTGTTTACTTAGTACTATCTTGTTTGATGTGACGTGTTGCCATTTTCTGTTGCAGGGTAGTATTCCTTTTGCGGTGATTGGCAGTAACAATATTACAGACGTCAGAGGCAAACAAGTGCGAGTTAGACAGTACCCCTGGGGGATGGCAGAAGGTATTTTGCTTTGGAGTGATTTCTACTGCGGTAAAAACAAAGTGCTTACAGCAAATTAGTTTCAATTGGTAAAATAAAAGTGCGATAAGCTGATGTTGACTTCTAACAATCTCGGGAAAAGTCGCGTTGATTAGCAAATCAGTGTTCGACAATTTGTGCTGTGGGGCCAACAGACACTTTTTTAATGTCAATCGTCGGACAACACCCGAAGAATTTTCGATCCTTGATAAACCAATCAGAAAAGAACACGAACACTGCAAGGTGGTGTCGAAGGTTGACAGTGACGTCAAACTTTTGGGCGATGACATGTACTCTTATCCCTCTTGAGTTCGTCGACCTTCAAAACTGTGTTTTCAGTTTCTGAAAATCAAGGAGAACTGTCGCTCGTGTGGCAGTCAGGCCGCCCCGTCCACACTACGCCGGAGGAATTTGAAAACGCAGCTTTATTTCTATGGCAAGGCCTACCGTCCACACTAACCCGTCACGAAAACGGAGCTTATCGAAAACGCTCTTCAAACCGAAGGAATTTGAAAACAACGGCTTTTCGTTTTCGTGTGGGAAAGATAATCAAGTGATATCTCTGCCCGATTTTTTTTTTATCCAAACACAAATCCAAAATGACCGTTTTTAAATTCATCCGGCGAAGAGTGGACGGAAAACATTTGATGCGTTTTCAGAGTGAAACTTCCGCTTTCAAATTCCTCCGTCAAGGTGTGGACAGGCCTCTAATGAAGTCAAATCTCGCTTGAGCTGCTGTTCGCTGACAGTCAGTGAGTTTTAGACGGAAACCTATCGCCAAACTACGATTCACGTTTCTCGGAATAATTATGTACTTAATAGCAACCTGTTTTAGTTAATCCGCTGGTTACATTCAAGTGTTGGAGACCGCGGTTGGAGAAAAAATGTCCTAAGAAGATCTTGACGTTTGATTTGCCGAGTGTGGAGAATTGCGATCGTTTCGCCCGATGGCCCATTCGCCCGAAGACGTTTCGCCCGATCTCAGAGTCGATTCTTAAAAAGATGTTGGTGTATAAGGTCCTACAAATCGAGCTTGAAATTGGTAGTTGTTCGCTTCACTTGAATACGTAGATTTCTTTTTGATGTAGGTTAGTGTATAGGTTAGGATAATATCTTAATAAGATGTTGGTGTATAAGCTCG